TTACACTACTAAATATCAATTCAAATAACAAGAGACTCACATAAAAGTTTACTACTCTCATAGTTGGCAGATGCGCAAGGAATGACGACTATTACACAGTATTGACATGGAAGGAAATTACGATGCATCATGTGTCCGCATTTCTTAGTTAAATGGTCGAACAACCTCATCGTCCAGTACGTATTTCCACTACCAGTTTCAAAGTGTTGATTTATGTCTTCATCCTTGGGAGCAAATTAAGAACTAATCATTAAAATAGATATTAAAATAGTACTAATAGCGCCAAAAACTCTAAAAGAGATGTTGTCGGGATTATATTCATTGCTTAATACAAGGGTTTTGTTCGTAATGTTAACTTTTATCTCCTATTTTTACGTACAAAATTTTACATTTCTCTTTTTTAGTTTACAAATTTTGCTTATTAAAGTGTTTGAAGATGGATCAAACTGCAGTAATAATAAATAACTAATTATAAAAGGTTGTTGAATCCTTAGGACCACCAAAAAGCCGCGTTTTGACGATGCACTAGCACTGTATTTTAAATTTCTAAGCGACATGTTCGAAATCAAGAACTACACTTGGCACCACACAGCCAAAATAGGTTTTGACCAATAAACTATTTGTTGCCCGGAATGATAAGTTGAGATAAAATATACACATTTTGGAGACCAAAAATCAAATTGATAATGGTCCATTTAGAAAGTATATTTAAATCATAATTTTTGATTTGACGTTTGAAATTTAAATTTTTTATGAAAGTAAAACACTGTAACAAAATTAATAATTTGAATTTAAGTATATGAAACAAACGGTCCCTAAATTTAGAGAGCTGAGAGTACGTTACTATTTGTTGAAATAAAGTATTTGTTGCTGATATAATAAGTTGAAATAAAAAATATATATATATATATAATTAGCTATTCAAGTTTAAATCAAAATACCATTGCAGTAGTTATTTTGGTATAAGATAATTAGCAACTTTTGATTCAAAGTAGGTTAAATTAATTAATTCTCTAAGAGGGAATACTTATTAATTATTCCGGTATAAGATAAGTATATATTATTTTATTGGATAATTATTATTGCAAAATATTTCACTAGATGATTATCAAATTAATATTCCTTAATTAAGTAGGAATTTTTCATCCTTATCACATGGTAGGCGTTAATCTAAAGGGGAGGACATAGAAATTTCTCCGAGAGTCTCTGTAAGAGGAGTGGAGAAGAGAAATGATAGAGAGAGTGGAGGGAGGAGGGTTGTGAACGATTATATTAATCTTTTATTTTATATGGTAGAAAGGATGAGAGTTAAAAATATGGATGATATTTATTTGTTTAATTATTATATTACCATTTTTATTATTTATTAATAATTTATTGAAGGATTAAAAAGTCTTTTGATTAAATTTTGGTGGAATTAGATTAGTTTAGTTGGAATGATTTAAATTGGTGAGTGCGGATGGAGACTCTCTGCCTCTTCTGCTTCCTCCAACCAAACAAAAGATTCAATCTCTTCCTTCACCTCTCCTCCTCCTTTTATGTCTCATTCCTACCAAACATAGCATAAAAGTCCTTCAATTGCTTAACTATATTGTGAAAAAAGAGTAACTTGGGCCAATATAACGGGTTTTTTTTTTTGAGTTTTTAAGTGCGAACGAACGCACTCTATATACATATATATATATATATATATATATATATATATGAACTATATAATATGCGCCAAATTTATTTTTAGATTATTTTGGACACTCTTTTGTGTTAGATGATTTTAGAGCAATAGTAATTGAAGGAGCTTTTCTACACTAATTACTACGCTCTTAAAGACTCAGAAATAAGTGAAGATTCTAAACTGATTGTTAAAACTTGGGACGAGAATGTCACATGCAATCTTTTAGCCATTCAATCCAAAATCTCAGAATGTACAGTTGAATTGGTCCATTTGATCGTACTACTAAATGATGTATAGCAACATAAGTTAATCAATCTAAGAGTTATGAAAAAACAATTTAAAAGTATATTCTTCGTGCATTTTTACGTATTTTCCAACATGTTCTTCATTTATTCCGAATTGAGAACTCGATTTTCAACCGAATAGAAAACCCAATTGAATAGAATTTGCTATAGTACTTGCTAAATATATTAACCTTTTCTCAAACCTAAACTTAAAAACTATTAAATTTTAATTATAAACTATATATTGAGAACGAAAATATAATAAATGCAAATATACAAAAAAAAAGAAAAGATAAAAAGGAGCATAAAAGAATAAGATAAGGTATTTATTAAATATGACATTTGTTTTATTTATCATTATTTTAGTTTAATATTTTTTCACGCCTTTAATAAAATAAATATCCAACTCCTTGTGAGATACAAGAACGTGAATCTTGTGAATTTCATGAATTGGATGATAATCACCACCACGGGTTATCAATGTAATAATAATAACTTTTTGGCATATATTTTTTTTTTGGAATTTTTTTTTTTTGGTATATTCAGTTGACGGAAAAGGCATTACATATGAAAATTCTTTTCGGCAGAAGAAAATGGTTTTTAAGAGGTTTCTTCTACGAAACAACTTCACCGTTTCTTGGGGCGCCCGTGGAATCAAACTAATTGAATACGAAAAAAAGTAAAATAAAATAATAAAAAAAGGAGAGATATTCACTCGTAGGCGTTAGACGGTTGCTGCTAGAGTAAAACCAAAACAGAGGACATAACTAATGTACGGGCCGTTCGGTTCGCTAATTTAAGTTTTTAATTTGAGTTGAGATGTGATATTATGTGAGAGTTTTTTACTGTAGTAAAAAAAATTAAATGTGACTATTTTTGAAAGTTTTTTACTGCTGCAAAACTCGAATCAACGAAAAGAACGGAACCGTTGTTTATTTATGGAGAGCTTCTACGATCAGAGAAAAATGAATTATCGATAATTATTTATTTTTATTCATTAAATTTATATTAAAAATTATTTATTATGTATATTTTTTAATTGAATGTAATTTTAATTAGATTGACACTATTTAATATCGAACTGCCATATTAAAAGAATTCTCTTATTTATTTATTTTAACATGGGTCGGATTGGGTTCAAACCGACCTATAATTACTAGAACCGCCATCTACCAAAGTTGAACCTGTCAAAATGGTGCCTTGTTGACATGAACTCGCCAAGAGCATACGATTTGGTACGGGTTTTTGTAGGCCCAATGCACGATTGGGAACACACGATCTTAAATCAAACGCCGAGAATGCATATAGTTTGAAACCATTAGGTGTTAACCGTCACAACATTTTCTTTTGCCCTATTTTAATAAGAACTAGTTTTGTAACGTTGCAGGTAGTGTTGTGTTGGAGACACTTTAAAAGTTTATTATTTATCGAATAATGAGAAATTTATTTATACAACTATTTAAAGATTTTTGAATTTAAAGATAACAATTGACAAAAATAAAAAAAGTAAAAACACATTCCAAGAAAATTATTTTGACCTACCAAAAATAAAATAGAAACACGTGAGAAAAATTTACTCACATAAGAGTAAAGTGAGGAACAATTATATATTTAAAAAATACACAAAAAATAAAGATAAAAATAAAGATAAAAAGTAAAAAAAAGAAAAGATATATAAGTGGAGGAGTTGCCACACATAAAAAAGAGTTTTGTCTCATTTATGTATTGTTAGATAAGGTGTTAACAATCACATTGTTTGGAAAATGAAATTACACAGAAAATATAATTTAAAGTGACAATAAACTATTTTATTAGAAGGCAAGAAATAAAAATGCTCTCTCCACAATTTATTTTGTAGATTTTGGACTTGACATTTCAGATGCCCACAATTCACATGACCAATTGGTAATTTAAAAACTGGGTGAGTTCTTTCATTTTTTCTAAACTCATTCTTTGTTTGATTGCTGAGAAATTTGAGGGAAAAAGGATGGGACTTTTTCATTGCGTTTGGTTCAAGTATTCGTGTCATAATTCGAATCATGGTTCGTAGCTTGCTATAGTATTTTCTCTCATAAAAAATACACATAAATCGAGAATGATTTTGAATCATTATTCGTGACTTGCTACAGTGTTTGTACCATGTGGTATTTGTACTTTTGTTTCAATTTTCAAATTGTTATTCTAGTTCAATCAATATTTTTTGCAACTTTTTTTTACTCTATACCATTTATGTCCTAAAATTTTATCTATTTATTTTTTAACCTAATGGCACCACAAGGATGTTTGGTTGATGAATTTAAAATCATGATTCATAACTATTCTCAATTTATGTGTATTTTTTATAAGAAAAAATATTGTACAAAGCTACGAATTATGACACGAATTTTTGAACTAAACGCACACTTAATTTGCAAATAAGAAAAGAAAGAAGAAAAGAAAAAGAAAAGAGCAGAAAGATTGGGACAATTGGCTGTGTGTTGTCCCTTATAGCTCCGCTACTTTGTCAGTCCTCACCTCCCACACGCAATTCGAAAGCAAACCAAACACGGTCCAAATCCAGACGTGTCAGGTAACATTACACATCTCAAAATCTCGTCAATTTCTCACGCTATATTTATTTATTTATTACAAAATTAATATATATCTTCCCAACAAAGGAACCAGAATTTACCGACCCATTAATTAAATTAAAATTCACGAGACCAAAAAAAAGAAACCTATTTTTTTTTTTTTTTTGGAATGAAGAATTCTATTTTTATATCAACTAAATATTTCATAACTTTGTGCTAAGTTTTGCTTCCCTTGGTACGTAAAATTGGCCCAAAAAGTGAAAACAATACAAGAAATCATTATTATTGTTTAGGCAAAAGCTTTTAATGAAAGGTATTTATTTTTTGTACCTAAAGAAAAGAAAATATAACTGGTACTGAAATCTGTTACATCTATTACTTTTAATTTTGTTTTCAATTTTTTTTTTTTTTGCATATCGAGATTAAATGTTGTTGTTCTTAGGCTAGGGTTTCTAGAACTTTGGAATTATTCCCCAATTTTATTCTCCAAAATTTGTAACAATTCTTCGTCTTGGATTTCTTCCGGATTTACCCTTATCCATCTCTGATTTCTGCGTACAGAGAAATCCCTGGCAATCTATTTTCCTTTTATTTTTTTAGGTAAATGTCTGAAAAAATCTCTATGATTTTCTTTATTATCTATTTATTTATTTATATATTTATTTTTGCTAATATAGAAATCTTGATGATTTTCTTCGTAATTTGCAAAGGTTGATTGCGATTACTGTTTCTGTGCTTTCTGTTCTGGTTGTCTGGTTAGGGTTAGGGTTGGATCTGGCCAATCAGATTCACAATTTTTTAGTTGCTATTATCTTCAAATTGAAGAGTTTTTACGAGGATTTTTAGCTATTAATTGAATCAGATTTTGATTTTTTTGAGTAAACTCTATTGAATTGTTGGTTTCTTTAAAATCTGGGTGTAGTGAATGGAGTTTCTGAGCTGGGTTTAGTTCAAAGGAGAATTTCAGGCCTTGGATCAACGACTTTGAAGGACAAATTCTATAAAGAAATTTTTTTTTTTTTGAATTTTGAGTTATCTTGTCCTTTTCTGAATCCTTGTTTTCTTGCTACGTGTTAGTAGATAAAGCTAAAATTTAGGAATGTTCCTTGTCACTTTAATATGCAATTTTCTGATAGATTTGAATTCTGGGAAATTTCTGCTAGTTCTTAAGTTCCAAGTTTGTGATGGTAAATATATTAATGTATTTGTGTCCATGCTTATGACTTGGTGAGGATGTTTTCTGGTGTACTGCATGAAGTTTTTTTTTTTTTTTTTTTTTTTTTTTTTTTTTTTTTTTTTTTTTTTTTTTTTTTTTTTTTTTTTTTTTTTTTTTTTTTTTTTTTTTAAGGGAGAAGTTATGGATTTTGGATCAAGTTTGTAGTTCCAAACTTTAGCAACTAAGTACTGTTTCTGTGATGAAAATCATAATGTGGGCAATAAATCTTCTGTTCAACTCAATACGAGTTTTTTGTGAAGGAGTTCTTTGGTTTAATATGCTTTTTCGTTAAAGGAATGGATAAGTAATTTCTTTTGCCTTTTCTTTTCTGGTGAAGTTGTTTGTGGTAAAGGATGAAAGGCATACTAGATAGCATCTTAGGGGATAATGAGGGGTATTGTGGAGAAAAGCATATGTTGTTTTTTTTCCCCTTTAAGGAAAGGATTTTTGACTAGGAGTTTAAACCAAGGATTTCGTTAGCGTTATGGAGAATTATGGCCTTCAGATATTGTTAAATCTAAAATGTGAATGTGATGAGGGTTGACGCTCTCTCATGAACAAAAACAGATTTTATGGCTTGGAGATATTTGATGTCATTGTCAATTGACCAATTATTACTTTTTCTGCAATTGCATCTTTGCTTTTATTCTATAATTCTTCTTTTGGCTAATCTGTTTATTCTAAAATTTAGCTCTTGCTGTAATTCTACAAGTGTAGCTCTTGCTGATCTTGTTTTCGCACCCTTTTTTGGGGCACTATCATTTTATTCAACTCTACTGTGGCTTGAATTTTACCTTTTCGTCACGCAGAACAGATAAACCACTATATTCTACATTTTGTGTGAACATACTGGGAGTCTGGAGTAACTACTCAGACCGGGTGCTTATCAATATAGAGCCTTCAAGCTGATAATCAATATAGAGCCTTTGAGGGTTGGCGAGTGTAATCCGGTTCACAGGTTGAAGTTACATATGCCACAACAGAAGCGATTATCCTCCTGAGAGACTCCTTTGATTGATCTTACATATAGAAGGCTGCCATTAAATATTTAATTTCACAGTTCAATGGGAACAGAACTCATGAGAGTCTGTGTCAAAGAAGACAATGACGACTTTCCCCCAGTTCCACCAGGTTTCGAGTCATTCACATCTTTCAACTTAAAGAGGGTAAATGATGCTGAAAGCCAAGATAGTAAAAACATGCTTGGCTGTTTTGCCTCTGTTGGTGCTTGTGAACCACACACGATAAAGATGGAAACTAATGTTGATGCTAGTGATGCTGCAAAGGTTACCAGGTCCCTCCGGCGTAAGCCATGGATAAACTATGGGAGACAAGATTGCGATCCAGAGGATGACTGTGATTCTGAGCGACTTGAGCAAGTGGGTGTTTTGATTTCTTATTGGGATTTTTGTTTTGATGCATCGTTATCGATTAGCTCCTTTGCCATTTCCTACCCGAAAATGTTGTACGTATGTGGTGCCTAATATAACTATTTGTGTTTTGCAGAATTTTCCTACGAGACTTTCCAAGGGGGTATTCCGAGGATGTTCTGAATGCAGTAATTGTCAAAAGGTTTATTTCCTAAAATTTATTTGCTCGACTCATTTTAGCCAATTAACTTTACCTTGCCCAGTTGAATGGCTTCTCTGAATATCTTATAGAAGCATTCAACCTTACTATCATTACAATTAACTTCTTGGAGCAGGTTGCTGCAAGATGGCGTCCAGAAGGTGCTCGAAAACTGGATATTCAGGATGCTCCCATCTTCTACCCCACTGAACAGGTCTCTCTTGTTGCTATTAAAGTTTCACTATATTTCCCTCGTTATCCGTTTATGTTATTTGTAAACTATAAATAGTTATATGTGGAAGAACTCAGATATGTGAACTGGTTTGTGACTTTTTTCAGGAGTTTGAAGATACTTTGAGATATATAGCAAGCATACGCTCAAAAGCCGAACCCTATGGAATCTGTCGCATTGTTCCTCCTCCTTCTTGGAAACCTCCTTGTCCCCTTAAGGAGAAAAAGATTTGGGAGGATTCTAGATTTGCTACTCGTGTCCAGAGAATTGACAAACTTCAAAATCGAGATTCACTTAGAAAAATGTCGATTATTCAAAGCCAAATGAAGAGGAAAAGGAGGAGATGCACAAGAATGGGGGCTGATTGTGTAACTGGTAGTAGAGGACTTGGTGATGCTGGGTATCCGGAGGCAGAAACATTTGGGTTTGAACCTGGTCCAGAGTTTACCCTGGAAATGTTTGAAAAATATGCAGATGACTTCAAGGCCCAATACTTCAGCAAAAATGCAAACGTTACTGATATGGGAGGTAACTTAACTATGCCTAAAGGGTGCAGCGAGCCATCTGTGGACAATATTGAGGGGGAATATTGGCGGATGGTAGAGAAGCCTACAGAAGAAATTGAGGTATTGCTTAAGGGCTGATATAAATATCCAATATGTATGTTTACTAAGTTCGTTCATCTATTATTATTTTCACTATCCCATCTCTCTATGTGGTTGTATTGTGAGCTTGGCTATGATGATGAAACCAACCATTCAAAGGGCCTAATTACAGTTTCTCTTTTGCTCTTTTAGGTGCTATATGGGGCTGATTTAGAAACTGGGGCTTTTGGCAGTGGCTTTCCAAAGATGTCCAATCAAGACTCTTCTGCTTCAGAAGAACAGTACGTAAAGTCGGGCTGGAACTTGAACAACTTTCCTAGGCTTCCTGGATCTGTCCTTTCTTATGAAACCAGTGACATTTCTGGAGTTCTGGTGCCTTGGTTGTATATAGGCATGTGTTTTTCTTCATTCTGTTGGGTAAGCTATATATTTACTATGGATAGTTGCATATACCTTTCATAATTATCACTTACAAGTCACCATTATTAATCCTATGGCCGAGTGTGCTTGAATATACAGACTTGCTTTCACTTAGATTGTTGTTCTATCTTTGTTTTCTTTTGTTTGTTGAGGATGGATTGTCCTTTTTGAATTCGTTCTTTTACTCATAATTTGATGTTTCTTATAAGAAATGAAACTTATCTATCTCTTTCACATGTTTAATGAGTTTTTAATTCCTGTGCCTTTCTTTTGTTTATAATTTTTGAGTGCAGCACGTTGAGGATCACCATTTATACTCGTTGAACTATATGCATTGGGGTGCTCCAAAGTTGTGGTATGGTGTCCCTGGAAAGGATGCCTGCAAACTGGAAGAGGCTATGAGAAAGCATTTGCCTGACCTTTTCGAAGAACAACCTGACTTGCTTCATAAGCTGGTGAGTAGAAGTTCCTGCTCTGTGGTATTTGTGTGTGAACTTAAGGCTCTGGATGATATGCTCCCATGGACATATATATTCAATAAGCTGTATATGTCTATAGTCTCTATATTGTAAATTATTTATTATGCAGAAGAAATTGATAATATCATTACATGAATGAGTTCTGTCCTTTGATGATTTTTCTTTAGCACTAATCTTGACACTCTTGTTTCCAATTAATGTGCCCCTTTGGATAATGTATACTAAATTGCATAAGTGGTTATGTATTTCCCGTTTCAAACTTGAAGTTTATCTCTATTGTTGCATACTACCAATGGCCTCAACCGGTGAATTTCCTCCCCTTCAAATTCAGGTCACACAGCTCTCCCCCTCCATACTCAAATCTGAAGGCGTTCCTGTCTACAGATGCGTTCAGAATCCTGGAGAGTTTGTTTTAACATTCCCTCGAGCATACCATTCAGGGTTCAACTGCGGCTTCAATTGTGCAGAGGCGGTTAACGTAGCTCCTGTTGACTGGTTGCCTCATGGGCAGATTGCAATAGAGCTATACTATCAGCAGGGAAGAAAGACTTCTATTTCCCATGATAAATTATTACTTGGCGCAGCGAGGGAAGCAGTCAGAGCACATTGGGAACTGAACTTACTGAAGAAGAATACTTCAGACAATTTAAGATGGAAAGATGTCTGTGGGAAGGATGGGATATTAGTAAAAGCACTTAAGGTAAATTCTAGCTTCCTATCCTTATGTTGATTTCCACAATTTCCAGTATGGATTTCTATAGTTAAATAATGATTTAGTTTCAGAGCTTACTTGGTATACTGGTTCGTTTTGCTTGGAAGTTGAATGTAGATAGAATTCTAGGATATTTTGGGGCAACTGCAAAAAGAAGATTCTGTGGTTATAGGACAAGTAAGCAGTGAAATATGGTTCTCGTGTTGATAAGAGTTATATATGGATTTTAAGGCTCGTATTAGATGTAAGCTGTAGCTGAAGTTTTTGTTTGTTTTCAGTGTTGTTTCCCTGATTCTCAATCATGGTTATGTAAATGGGTTGTGTCAATTAACCTGAAATCTATTTGCAGATGTCAATTTTGAGATCTGTAAAGTTAAATTAATTGGTAGGTATCAAATTAGTAATCCCTGTCAACATGGGACTTTAAAATGGATCAAATCGTGGATCCAAATTAACTCCTCTCTTTGTTAACTTATTACTGAACATATGGGAGCAGAGTAATTGTAGGTTAATATTATCGGTTTAATTAATTTTCCAATAGGTACCCCTAGTTTTCTGGAATTCAGTCAAAGAACAGTAGAAAAATTGAAAAAAATAGTATAAAGAGAAGTATTCTTGTATTGAATCTGGGAAAGAATTGTTTACAGGCTTTGATAGGATTTCGAGATCCTATCTCTCTCCCCTCAGCTTGGCTGAACGAATGCCCACTAATTGCCTACTCTCAACTGATTTTCCCTTCATTTATACTCTCAAATACCTTCTAACTGTCACCAATACACCTAATAGCTTATTATTAACTTTTACTAACTAATGTAACAGCTAATCAACGAAACTAACTACCCCATGCCTCTCTCTCTCTCTCTCTCTCTCTCTCTCTCTCTTCTAATGAACTGTAATAATTAATTATTACTTTACTTTTATATTGTCCTTTTCTGTCGGTCTTTTTCTGTCATTTATAATTTATTCTGGAAGTTTATGCTTATATTAGTTGGTTGCTTGTCTGGCATTTTTTTCTTCCCTTGTAGTCACGTGTTGAAATGGAGCGTATGAGGAGGGAATTTCTTTGCAGTTCTTCACAGGCAGTGAAAATGGAGAGCAATTTTGATGCTGCTAGTGAGAGGGAATGCAGTGTATGCCTTTTTGATTTGCATCTCTCCGCTGCTGGTTGTCATTGTTCACCGGATAAATATGCATGCTTGAATCATGCAAAGCAGTTATGTCCATGCGCTTGGGGTGATAAATTTTTTCTTTTTCGTTATGACATCAGCGACTTAAATATCCTAGTTGAGGCATTGGAGGGAAAATTAAGTTCAATATACAGATGGGCCAGACAGGATCTGGGACTGGCCTTGAGTTCTTATGTCAACAGAGACAATATGCACGTTGCAGAGACTCATTCTGACAGAGGAGCTGTACTTGAAGGGCGAAATTCACAACCGTCAGTCAGTTCTCTTAAAAAACAACTGGCCACAGAAATCCCTAAAGAGAAGCGTATAAATTCAAGTAATAATAATATGATAGTACTAGCCCTTGGAGCTCCATTGCCTTCAAAAGATACAGCGCCATCATCTACCTCTCACAGTCCAAATGAAATTGCGGGGGCGGGTAATAACTCTTGGTTCAAGAAACAAGAAACTATTAATTTGGACAATCCAAGAACCTCAGTTTGTCAGTTGTCACAAGAAGACACATCATATGTCATAAACCCGGTTGAAGGGAAGCCAATGATGAAGAAAACTTCAGTTTCGGAACATTATGATGTTATACTTCTCAGTGATGATGAAGGCGAGGACGTAAAAAATTCAGTTTCAGATAAAGAGAAAGAGACAGATCTTTCTAAGAGGTTGATTGGTCCGGATGATAAAGTCTCCTCTTGTAACGATATTAAAGATCCAAATCATTCCAAGTCTGTAACTGGTGGAACCAGTGAAAAGGTTGGCTGTTCATTACCTGACGTAGAAAGGAATGGTTTTTCATCTTGCTCGATCAATGTGAAGATTGAACCTCAAGAAAACGATGGACAAGTGGGATCTAATCCACAAAATCTGTCTCCTAATGTAGGTTCTCTGGGTCCAGAAAATGGTAGAAATATTCAGGGTTCCGCAGCTATTAGTGAAAATAATGATCATAATATCACAAATGTGCGGAATGATTCTCAGCACCAACATCCTTGTGTCAGTGGAAAACCTGAAAGTGGGGCAAAAAGTTCAGCAGAAAATACAAGAGCTTTGACTGGAAATGCATCATCCAGCCAAAACAATTTGGACAGATATTATCGTCAGAAGGGACCTCGCATAGCAAAAGTAGTGCGGAGGATCAACTGCATGGTTGAGCCTTTGGAATTCGGAGTTGTGCTTTCTGGGAAGTCATGGTGTAACAGCCAGGCCATTTTTCCCAAAGGTTTGTCACTTGCATATTTTGCACTTATCACAAGTACAGGCACTTTCTGTGAAAAATAAACATGAACTTGCGACTATGTCATTCACACTTGCTATTCTTGTTGCAGGATTTAAGAGCCGTGTTAGATACATGAATGTTTTAGATCCATCAAACACGTGTTATTATATCTCAGAAGTACTCGATGCAGGACGGGATGTGCCTCTTTTCATGGTATTGGGAATTTCTTTGCGACATAATCTTATCGTCTTGCCTTACCGTAAACTGTTCTTATCTTCATAGACAATTCATCAGTTGTAACAAATAAAAGAATAACGATTACAGATGCAAAATATCTGGTCATTTGAGCATTGCACCGTGCTCACCTTATACAACGAATTCCGATGTTTATAACTGTAAAACATGATTACCTATCACTGAATATATATTTCTCTTTTCTTTTCCGTTTTAGGTGTCCTTGGAGAATTGTCCAAGTGAAATGTTCATCCATGGTTCAGCTGTTAGGTGTTGGGAAATGGTAAGAGAGAGAGTAAATCAAGAGATCGCGAGGCAGCATAAATCGGGGAGATTGAACCTTCCTCCTTTACAACCTCCCGGCAGTCTTGATGGCTTTGAGATGTTTGGGTTTACTTCTCCAGCTATTGTGCAGGTGAATACTTCTGTATATTTACTCGGTTTTCACTGCAGATAAGTACTCTTTAATATGTATCTATGATGATGACTTGGGTCAAGCACTGCTCAATTTATATATCAATGTGGGTGTGCTTATTTCTCTCCAATTGTTCTTTATTTTTTTTTTAGCCAACTTATACGGAATGCCATATAAAATTCATTTTGCTTGCTTAGTTTTCTCATATTATGGCAAATACTTAATCGTTCCCTGACTTTGTGAAACAGGTGATAGAGGCAATGGATCGAAATCGAGTCTGTTCTGAATACTGGGATTCTCGACCCTACTCTCGGCCTCAAGTACAAATTCCACAGACTTCTCGATCCAAAGAAACCGGTGGAAGGACGTCGGAGCAAGGAAGCGCTCAAGGGCCCCCTGACAATCATCTATTGCCTAGCGGAGTAGATGCAATACTGGGGGGCCTTTTCAAGAAGGCTAACGTAGAAGAGCTAAACTCACTGTACAGAATGTTAAACGACAATCAGTTGACAGTCGGTCGGGACTTGGTGACTCGACTTCTTAACGAAGAGATTAACAATCGTCCGAGATGATTCATTAACCATTGATCCATTCTCATCGTGATTTTCCCGACCTTGCTTGCTATGGCCGTTCCTGACCCTGTAAATACCATAGTTTCCTTTTTTTCTTCCAAAATTCACTTGCATCTCAGGTGCAACCAACTCAATTCTTTTTAACCAATAGACCGAAACAAAGAGAGGGAACAGACTGGTATCCTATTAGATTATATTCTGCTGCTTGGAATATTGTTTGGTGGATGCCCCCCACTTTTTGTGATTTGGTGTCCACGGCCATATAGCAGGACGGGGCTAAACATACCATTGCCACCATTTTTTTTTTTTTTTTTTTCCTTTTTACTCCATTTGAGCTTTTGTTCTCTTCAGGAGCCTTGTTCATAACATTGTAGAAGATGGTCGTGGAGCACAAATTTTGAACTAAATAAAATAGAGATAGAGCCACATTTTTTTTTTAATTATTATTTTCTTTTTTGAACGTCAATACAGAGACATCTTGGCATTTATAACTCTGCACTTGCAATCATTAAGCACAGTGTTGCATTTATTTCTGAGACAGCAAGTGTTGGATTCCACTTATATGAGTCGTAATTGGCCTAGTTTAGTCATGCGTGTAAACTTTGATCTTGAAATATGGTCATATTAAAAAGAATTTTAAAATTTTTAAATAATGTGACATAATATTATAGTTAATTAGATACCTAAAGAACACTAAAAATAGATGCGTGTTTTTTTTTTTTCTCTCGGCTAATCAATTAGATTGGTGATTTGAATCAATATTAAAAGCCTCAAATATAATCTATACGGTGATTTTATACTCGACTCTAGTAGAGTTCGGATCCTTCACCCTTAGGTTTCATTGGTTGGTTGATAAAAAAACTCAAGATTTTTATCACTATATATTTACTAGATACTAAAACCAAGGCACAATAGTCAAGAAAAGACGGTACACAGATTGGTTGTAGTGATAGATTTAAAATAAAATTTAACGCATTACTTTATGTGCATTTTGAATTCCCAGTTATAATGGTCACATAACAGACATAGATCCCTAATGGACGAACAGGAAAGGAAGTGGTCCCCACCACCTCCATAGAGATCTGATCCGTTACTTCCCCTCCCATATATAGCAAACACGAGTAACGGCCAAAGATGGAAAAAGACTAGATTACTTCCACACTCCTCGTACGGACGAAAGACAAATGGATCCGACGGGCCCAAATTGCCCACGAGGGGAAATGAGCATCCAACGCCTTTGATAATTCCACGTGTCAGAATCAGCCGGTGGGAGTGGCTCATGAGTCGACGAAAGGGCGTAATGGGGAGGCGTCTGTTGCCGACATCCAGTACGGGCGGCCACGTGGGTTCACGAGGTGCGTGGGTCCCACAGGGAAGGCGCACGTGTCATTACCTGAGGGCGGCCCATCGAGCTGGCCCGTAGATTGCGGGATCTTTGTACGGCCTACTGCTACCGCCTCGTTCTTCGTGTCAAAGGTGGTAGCTTTTGTGCGATTGACAAGAGACAAAAAGGATTTGGTGGTTGATTTTTTTAATGGCCCAATTATTTTATCTCTTTAATTTACCGTAAATTGTTTTTATTTATTGTATGGTTTATGCTTGATTATTGTTTTGATTGATTGGTTTTATTTTATTTGTTTTTGGGGGTGTGGATGAATAAATTATAAAACATCCCATCGTTAAAGAGAAATGAGCATCTTATAGGGGAAAAAAGAAAGCCAACTTTTTGAAGCATTTGAGTTGGATGTGGACAGGTGTCCAATTGAGTTAACAACATTATCTTTTCAGGAGGTGAGACTGAGAGGAGAAAAAAAGAAAGTGATTAAGACATTCAAAGAGCAAAAGGAAAAGGGATTATCTTACTTACCGTGACAATATTGTATGTGATGTTTTCTTCCCCATTTGAGTGGGTTCTAAATGGACAAGGCAAGAGTAAAGAAGAATTAAGAAATTATGGAAAATGATACCATCTTTTCAAGTTTTTTAACTATTAACTATTTTTGTCGGCAAAAGGATTTTTCTTTCTATTTTTTTCATTGAAATTGTAACTAGCTATTTGCTTCCAGGATTAATCCAAATTGACTACTATATGGTTTGTTCTCGTTTTTCTTGTTTGTTGTTATTTTGCTTTCACATACAGTTTCCTCTTCAACCAGGCCAATAGAAAAAATGCATCAACTTTATCAAACAAGAAGCACATAGTACTTTTCATTTCAAAAAAAAAAAAAAAAAGAAAGAAAGAAAACGAAGTATACATTACTTTTGTGCTCTAGTATTTGCTAGCAAGAAAATGTAAAATCTTGCTGCTTGTATAATGTACTTCTTTAAATATAAAAAAAATATATATGTATAGAATGTTATGAAATGTTAGTTGAAATCTGTTGTTACAAAAGTGTACACTTTTTATCTGACTTTTTTTTTTTTTTTTTTTTTTTTTTTTTTGTTTTTTTTTGGCTAGAATCCCACCGGTTATAATTGCTGCATCTCATCTAAATTTAAAATTTCGGAGTGAAACTAACACATAAATATAGTTTTCTAAATTTAAATAATTATGAGAAAAATCTTGGCTAGTGAAATAATAAATGAGACGCGCTCTTTAGAGATTAACTTAGAAGTCATGATTCACGAATGTTTATCTATACTTTTTATTTTCAATGCCTCTCGTAATTGTTTATGTGGAAAAAATGGTGCTTTTTATTCAATTAGAGGGTTATAAGGGGAAAGAGGAGACGGAATCCTGTCTTGTTTTACCGGACAAGACCTCAGTGTATTACGTTGGCCGTTGGGTAGGGAGGTTGTATCTAATATCTCGTTCATTTTATCAATTTAAGGTTTTAATTTTAATTTTATTACAGTTAAAATTTCTCATAAAAAATCACATTTAATTTTTTTTATTGCAGTAAAAAACTCTCACATAAAATTAAATTTCAATTCGAATCTACGAATTGAAGGATACCTAGGACGTTTGTTTCTTATATTCGTCATTGATTTTGAATCATGATTCATGATTCTCTATAGTGTTTTCTCTCATAAAAAATACACGTAAGACGAAAATAATTCTGAATACATAAATCAAACGTTTAATTTAATTAGTCAAAAAGAAGAAAATTTAATTACAGGTAATATGTCAAAGGAAATTTTAAATAAAGGCATGGTATTTTTTTTTGAGATTTCTAAGGTTGGATTTGAAAAAATTAATTATCAATAAATTTATATTTTTAATCATTAAATTTATATTAAAAACGGTTCATTATATATATATAAATATATATTTTTTAATTTAATGTGATTTTAATTATATTTAACTATAAAAAATACACTGTGATAGAAGACCTAAAGACGAAGGGACATTTTAAGTGGTATGTCTTGTCAAGGGGACATTTTAGTTGCGAAGGGGTATTACTCTTATCCGATACAGTACTTGAAATTTGGTTCCAAATGGCTGTCTCTTTCAAAACTTTAACAACCGAAAAAAGTGGTGAAAAATTAATATCGCTTTGTAGTTCAAGATCTAATTCATATCGCCAGTCACAAAATTACATTGGTACTTTGTGAATATAAAAGCTTGAATCACGTTGAATATTTCTAGGATGTACAGACTACAGAATTTCAACGAGTTATAGTGAATTAACATGTTTATTTCGTGGATATATCAATTATTAGAGCATCAAAATTATCATACATTCGACAGCTAGAGCTATTGAGATAAAACTGATCAGTGTAAATTTTCTTCAGATAATGATGAATGCAATGGGATTTTGTCAACAAATTTGAAATAGTCCAATATTAGGGTATCAATTCTCTTTCTGATAAAAAGGCAATAGGGATACCTCGATTTAACAAAAAGAAACGTTACATCTTTTTTTATCATAAAAAAATAAGAGATTTTTTTTTTTTGTACGCCGAACTTATTGGTAGAGTTAGTTTCTGATCATTAAAGCTCCGTTTATTTTATCGATTCGAGTTTAAAATTTGAGTTTTACTACAGTAAAAAGCTCTCAGAAACAGTTATATCTTTTTTTTGTACAATAAAAATGTCTCACATAAAGTAGTATCTAAACTCAAATCAACAAACTAAACGAATCATGAGTTTGGTTAAAATCACATTATGTTAAAAAAGTAGCATAAAAAAGATAGTTTATAGATATGACGGCTGCAAAGTAAAAAACCACTGATACTTCATTTTTTTCAGTCTTATCAAAGAAATTTTCTAAAAATAAAAGCTCCCCAAACAAGCAGCAAATGATTAATGCATCAAAGTCTTCTCCTCATGTTCAGCTGCAAGCCTACGGTGTCAAGTTTTGATAGTAAAGGATGAGTGAGTATCAACTCCATAGGAATTGGGCATTAAATTGCTATTAAGTACTGTGATTATCGTAACTCAACTTTATCTAGACAACTGAACTAAATGAAATAAAATAGAACTTAAACGGATATAAATACAAAAATAATACAAAATATGGAAACTTCTATGTACAAATGTACTAGGGACTTGACTTCATCTTATCATTCCTATGTTCATCATATCAAGCCAATGCTAGCTAATTCCACTCAATTCATTAATCAAGGGTTCTAATCTAACCTCGCTACCTCTCCCGAGCATCAAACGAAGTCATATGCATGAATACCCAAATCAATACCCCTATCTAATCCATTTACTCATACACTCATTAAGTTTCGCCCTTAAATTAGAACTTAAATGTCGATCGCCTCTCGGCCTCTCAACAATGGAAATCCTATAGTTGATAATTAAGGTCTTGATCACCTCCCGGTCTCACAATATCCTAGACACTCAACGAGATTATCTAAGTGTTGATCTCCTCCCGGACTCACAACAACCTAGACTATGTTTTCCAATTCCAGATTGTGAAATCAATCTCTCCCGAGCATCAAAATTACAATCTAAAATTATCTAACTAATTGGCCACATAAATTAAAAACATTAAGCATAGAGAAACATAAATAAATTAAGATGGAATTTAACTAACAATTGACAAGATAATCAAAACATGGTTCAAATAAAGCTACATCAAGTACTAGAATAATAATATAGCTCAACATAGAGGAATCCATAACCAAAATCACAAATTCAAGAAGAAAAACTAAAAAAAAATACAAAGAAAAGGGAGAAGGAAGAGAAAACTCTTGTGGATATGAGTTTCAAGTCTTCAAAACTTCAAGAATCTCTCCTAAGCATTCTTCAAGAATCTCCAATTGACAACATAATCAAAATATGGTTCAAATAAAGCTACATCAAGCCCTAGAATAATAATCTAGCTCAACATAGAAGAATCCATGACTAAAATCACAAATTCAAGAATAAAAACTAAAAAAAACTACAAAGCAAAGGGCTCTAGAATAATAATCTAGCTCAACATAGAAGAATCCATAACTAAAATCACAAATTCAAGAATAAAAACTAAAAAAAAAAAAACTACAAAGAAAAGGGAGAAGGAAGAGAAATTTTTGTTGAGATGAGCTTCAAGTCTTCAAATATTCAAGATCTCTCCCAAGCATTCTTCAAGAATCTCCAACTCCAAGCTTTCTTTCTAGGAACTTTTGGGCCTGTTTATTTATGTTTTCATTTTCATTTTTCAACTAAAAAATGAAAATGCAAACTGAAAATGTGTTTGGCTTAAAAGTTTTTGAAAAACAAAAACAAAAATGTTTTTGTCTTTTCTGAAAAAGTGAAAATGAAAAAAACCTGTTTTCATTTTCACATTTTCAATTCTGAAAACGGATCTTTTTTTTTTCTTCTCTCTCTTCTCCACCCCGCCTTAATAATAATATTTATTTAATATATTATTATTTAATATATTTTATAATAATATTTTATTTAATATATTTAATAATATTATATATTTAATATATTATTACATGTTTTCAAAAATTAAACCACCAAACGCAGTTTCAATTTTTTTTAAAACTGAAATCAATCTCTGAATAAAACTACCAAACGCATTTTCAGAAATGATTCCAAAATGAAAATAAAAACGTTTTTGTTTTCATTTTCATACAAAAAACAAAAACGTTTTAGAACCAATTCCAAACGCACCCTTTGTGCCTCTCATCCTCTCTAAGTTGGAAACTAGGGTTTCTTTTGCTTAAGTATGCTCAAACATGAAGAAAATCTCAGCCATGCCCATCTAAGGGTCTAAAATTAGCCATTCATATTGATCAAGGTTAAAAAATGGCCCAAAGTTCGTCAACAACACGCAGGAGGGTGCGGCCGTGCGGCTAGTGGCACGCCCGAGCACCCAATGTGGCACACCCGCATAGGGGCCCAAACAGACCCTTGTGCTGCCTTGAGTGCTTTTTGCTCTAATTTTTTACTCTAAAATGCTACTAAGTTCCATTTTATTATTTTTCCTACAAAATAACACTCAAAACACATTAAACTAATAAAAATACTTAAAGACTCATAAATATTTGAACTCAAAAATACATAATTTGTTGGTAAATAACCTCGTCATCAACTCACGCTACACTTGTATATTTTAGTTGTTCAGTTTAATATTGACTAAATGGATAGTTTTTTATTTTAATTTTTGTTGGGAGGATTTAAACTCTATGTTACGTATGAACTTATTTTGAACTTATACATGCAATACCTAATTAATAAATAATTAAATCAAGGAAAAAAAAAAGTACCTCGACCTTTCACAAATTATAACGCCAGTGATAATCCATCTCTTTATTTCCTCAACAAGGGCCACGCTTTTCATGATCAATAACCGTTGCAAATAAATAAAAGAAAAGCAAAGCAAACAATCTTTTGCTAAAATCATGTGAGGAATGATTTTTCTACCAAAATCCACGTGCGAGCAAGGCGTATTATATGTACATGCTATTTTCATACCCAGCTTTCTTCGTCAGCCGCAACTCTAATTAATCACGTCATATGATCATGCGGATCATATATTTCAGTATTTCTCCTTTACTTTGATTCTTCAAAAAGCATATTGCGGATCATTTCCAAAAAAAAAAAAAAGCATTGCCGTAATTATGCATCAATTATTAATCCGCAATGCCTTTTGACGATTCAATATGATCCAAAAATCAATTATCCAATATATACATTCGCTCGCATATACATACTTTTTTATCCAAAATTTCTAAAATGCACAAGTAGTACTGCAAATTAGCTACATCATGATCCATGATTAGCAATACTCTGCAGTACTACTTTTGTGTATGTTAGAAATCTCGGCCATCTCTCTTGTTTTCAATATATATATATATATCTATTTATGTATATATTATATACACACATGTAGTAAAGTAGGTGTAGCACTAATAAAAGATAACGTGCGCGAAAGCCGCTTGAGGTAATTCAGACATGTCCAACGTAGACTGCTAGAAGCACAAATTCATGCTTGGGAGGACATTCTTATACCTAATACTAGGAGAGGGAGGAGTAGACTAAAAATTACGTGGACTAAAGTCGTTAAGAAAGACATTCTAGATCTAGACCTTCAAGAAAGTTTAATTTCGAACAGAACCGTGTGAAAAAGTGAAATCCATATAACCGATCCCAATTAAGTTAGGATTAAAGCTTGTTGTTGTTGTTGTTGATACACACATGTATCACTCAGCTTGACTCTCCTATATTATAACCAGACTCCAAAAGATCAAAACAATTGATTTGTTCGTCTTAGTATTGCTATTGAGGAAATCCATTTTATATTCTTATATATTAATATTCGGGAGATTCAAATGGGTCTTTGTGAGCAAAGTATTCAAATTGGAGAGTCCAAAATTTCCCCTGCCCCCCAAATTGGAACAATATTTCGACCTATTTGCTACATTGAAAACAATTTCACGAAGAAAAATATGTATAATTTGCCTTGCTTACCATGCATGATCTGAAAATTAATATAAGACAATTAAGACTTCGTTCATTTTACCAATTTAAATTTTTAATTTTAATTTTGTTACAATTTAACTCTTATAAAAAAACCACATCTAATTTTTTCTACTACAGTAAAAAAACTCACATAAAACCACATCTCAACTCAAATTAAAAATTCAAATTCGCGAACTAAACAAGGTCTAAATTACCTAATCGAACTGCATTCGATCTAATATATATCTGTTTTACTATCACTGTTTTGTATTTGAAAAGCGTGGAAAACTTTTATCAGAGGTGATAAACAAGATTAAAACTACCCTACAAAGGAAATAATAAAGTCGTAAATAAGCTATCAATAGTTAATCCTGATCATTAAATAAAATCAAAAAAATAAATAAAAAATAGTCGTATTACCTCTCGTGGGTTAGATTGACACAGAATAAGAAGGGTATAAACATATAAATTCTCTCGTATAATTAAGTACTGTCCACCCTTGTTCAAGATCGACACGATCACGAGTAAATATACATCAGCTACGTACACACACACACACACACACAAAAACCACGTACGTAAAACATACGTATGCATGCATGTACATACAGGATATATACAGATAGATCAAACGCATTTGGCAATTAACTAGAAATTAAAATTTCTAATATATATGATAAATGCATCAGTACAATCTTTCTGTCAAGTAGAAAGAAAATGACAATCTGAAACATTTTGGGCAGCAACTTTTTGCTAGATTTTATGACCCTTCCATCAATATAAATCGGACGGGAAAAAAATGACCTATATATGCTAATTTAGACACAGTCGACTGCCAATATATTTGTGTACGTATAATATATACTAAACAGCAACAAATATATCAACAAATTAGTTTTTACCTTTCCACGCTCTAGCTACAATTCAATGATAGCTAATTATTAACATCGTAAACAAGTAAACAAATGAGTAGCAAATAATTTCCAGGAAAAAAAATAAAACAAATAGAAACATATATATAAGAAATTTCGGTCTCAATATCTACATAATTCCTGCGGAAAGATATTACGTGCATGTTTTTTAAACTCCTAATATTGACTGGCTTGAAATTTCTTCAGCTAGTAAAGTATGTTGATCTTTTCTTTCAGTACTCTTCAGAAGAATACCCTGGAAGAGTAAGGCTATCTATATACTTACACTTACATGATCAGTAGCTTCTACAGACAAAAAAAGACTCAACCTATTAAGAATTGAGTATGTGTATATTTATATAGATATCCTCTCTTTAAGATTAAGAATAATTGTTTAAGATTAATTAGTTCTAATGCTATCATAAGGATAAGCCAATTACAGGAGACTATTTAGACAACGAATTTTTTAATCATTAAAAGTTTAAATCAAAGTCTAGATGGATTTGGAAAGAGTAACTAATAATTTATATTCCTTTCCTTGATGAGTTCAGTAATTTTTAATTAATTACTTTATAACAATAATATGCATGTGTATTGTGTGCTTGTAGCTGGCACCTAGAAAAAAAGATGATCTAGGTTGTCTTTTTGCCTATTATAGATCTCATAAGATTGTCTTTAAATAATACCTAACCAGATTTGACTACAAATAAAAGTCTCGTGAGTTTTCCACTAAGTCCCTAATCCATTAACCGTTCTCAGTAATTAGCTTCTTTTCTGCATGATATCTTGAAGCTTAAACATATAAAAATGTGGTCAATTTAACAATATTGTGAGAACATTGCAAACCTCTCTAGATTTTTAACAGTATCAGTTTTATGGATAATGGATAAAATCTTCTTTATATTAAGAAAATTTATATAATTTAACTTAAGAAATTAGCTGGGTGGTATTCAATACAAGATCATGACATGCACATATATATATATAGAATTAACAATAATAATAATAATTAAGATTCAACCATTAATTAAGAAGAAACAAAGTGGAAATTAACATATATATTTTACAGAGAGAACTCTACTCTTTGGTACGCAGTTTTCAAGTACAACCATCATTTCGGCGAACAGTCCAACCCACTACCGCAGCTCGGCCTCCACACCACCACCACTGTCCCCAGTTTCAGAACGTATAATAATATGTATAATATTTCTGATACACGCACAAAAAAAAAAATCAACTCAGTCTCTCTCTTCATATAAATTATTAAAAAACGCAAAAAAAAGGAGAAAAAAAAACCATTACCCATGTGATCATCAACAGATCTTTATAATACGCTTATTATGACTAACTGGAACTGCCAGTACTTGGTGGTGGTGGTGGTGGTGTACTAGTAGTAGTATTACTACTAGTGATGATGACCATCTTGGGCTTGGGCCTCTTCCTCTTCTTCTCATAGCTGACGCCTCTGGCCTTGGCCTGAAAATCTCGGACTTCTCGGAGGTAAAGCCTGACGGCTCTGGCGCCGAAGGGGTTGGCCTCGGGGCGGCCGCCGTGCTCCTCGTAGGCAGCCCGGAGGCGGCCGATGAGGGCGTCGAGGCTGCCCCAGTAGCTGACGCCTCTGGCCTTGGCCTGAAAATCTCGGACTTCTCGGAGGTAAAGCCTGACGGCTCTGGCGCCGAAGGGGTTGGCCTCGGGGCGGCCGCCGTGCTCCTCGTAGGCAGCCCGGAGGCCGCCGGTGAGGGCGGCGAAGCGGGCCCAGGCA